ATCGAATGAGCAATGTACACGGAGGTCAAATCAATGGCGATGTGGGGGGGGGGGGGGGGGGGAGGGGGAATCAATAAGGCCTTTCCCCGATGTAGTTGCCGGGGGGGTCGTACTCACAGACCACGAGCACCCCCTTCCTCCCTGAGCAGCTCACCATGGCGCAGCCCAACCGCCGGGTGCTCCGCCACACTATCTGGGTGTAGTGGCCGCACTCGGGGGCGGAGCAGGAGTTGGAGCGGTAGTGGTACCAGCGGCGCTCCCCGACCCAGGCCGCCGCCGCCTGGGCCGGCCGCCACCGCGCCCCGCTCCCCCAGAAGATGTTCTCCCCGTACGGCCCCCCGGAATGGGCCAGCGCGCAGTCCCTCCGCCGCCTCCCGCCGTACGACTCGGCGTACCGCGCCAGCCGCGCGTCCCAGGCCAGCGGCGGCAGCCCCACCGCGGCCCGCGCCGCGTTGTGCGATCGCAGCAGCTGCCCCGCCAGCCCCGCCCGCGGCCGTCTCCCCCCCTCCGCCCCCTCCACCAGAACCAACGCGATCATCACGGAACACAAGAGCAGGAGCTCGCTGCGCACCGCCATGTCCGGCCTCACTCGCCCACTCCGAGATGCCCACTACCTGTTCGATATATAGTTATGGCTGTGGTTTAGCGGTTGGGCTTTTTGTGGATGCTGCGGTGGCAGCCACGTTCAACGATGCAGGCTTTAGATTCCCAAATCCAACTAAGACGGAATACTTTTGGGTAATCATAGTGGACCATATGCCCCGTGAACCTTCTTCAACCTCCACAACTTAGAACATGGCAATTCATGTTAGATTCGGCCATTAACAATTCTTAGCTCATACCTAATCCAAAATGGGTACCAATCTCGAGATTGATATGATGATTTCTTTTAGATAATATATCTTGATGTCAAAATTGATCATCCATCTAACTTCATAACCAACATAAATCATTTCTTGAAGACCGTCAATCTTATTGGATTGTGTATGAATCTATGAACTAAACTGAACTTAACAATTCCCCTCTTTATGGCTGGCCAACTGCTAAAGGCAAGTCAGATCCTATGATGGAGTCATTCCAACAAGCCTTGTGGTCTCTCATGATCATTAATCATTCCCATTAGTCTTGTAAGAAAGATTGTGAAGCTTATAGTAGATTAATGTCAGTTGGTTGTGGTTTCCTTATTATAGAATATCTAGCAACTCAATAGAAGAAAAAAGCTTGACAAAGCATCTCAGTTTGATCTCATTGCATCACAGCATGTGTAATTGTGACAATGCTTGTTTCAGAGCTCACAAACATAATTGATCTCCCAATCAATGTTGATCAGATACATGAAAATATCAGCAGGAAGACATTGATTTTAATGGAGGCAACATTTCCTCTATATGTTGTAATAGCTCCCAGTGTTTGAACTCATTTTGTGAATCCTAGTTTGATATTTAGACTTGAGGTTGCTGGAGTTCAAAGCCTACAGGAAATGGAAAGGAGTCATGGATTAAGTTTGGTCATTACATATGTAATCCGGATTAAAGAAGGGAGAAAGTTCCTGACAGAGCTGAGTGTGAGATATTAGCAAGAGCTTCTTATGGAACAGGAAGAAGAAACAAATCACCTGTAATGTGATCTATTACTGTGATTCTTACCATTGCACAACATATAGAAAATGTTGATGCAGATAAGTGATCGAAGAACAACACTGCAATGGTATATCTACTCATGTAGAACCAGAGGAGTTATGCTCTTCACAACATCTACCTAAAGCTTAGAATCTGGATGCTGTCAATGCCTGCTAAGACATACTCTTGAAGCATGGAATCAAGTTGGGGAGATGAGGCAGAATAGTTCAGTGCTCCTTTCTCCTCGAAACCATTACTTGACCACCAACTCATCATACTCTCGTTTCCATCATTAGGTACTGCAAAGGATGAACTCCATGCCATGAACAATCCATATCTTCTTGTACAATTTGGCTCATCGAGATCTGGATTTCCTGTTCCATTTGCGGTAGGGTCTGATGAGATGTCTCCAAAAGCTTGCCACCCAGCGCAGGGATGTTGGACAAGAAGAAAGCATACAGGAGCTGCATCCTTTGAAGAGCTGATGCACTTAGGGTTTGTGCAGGAAGGCATGGAGATTGTGATGGCTCTGTTTGCATGCCAAGTAGCTTCTTCTTCAGCCGTGTGTTCCAATGATTCTTGACGTCATTATCTGTTCTCCCTAGCAGCTGGGCTGCAATCATTGACCACCTAAACTTTGCATGAAAGCCAAGCTGTCATCAACCTTTAATCACATGATGAGAGGAGCTCAAAAGCTTTTGCCACAACTGGAGATGGAGCAGGAATTAGAACAGATGATGTTGTACCTGCTTCCGATACTTATGTAGAGGCTACATATGACTTGGTCTTCTTCCTCAGAAAAGCCACCATGCTTGATGTTGTGCCTCAGATAGTTAAGCCACCTCAACCTGCAGCTTTTCCCACACCTCTTCAGGCCTGAGTTGATGAACCAAAGCACATACAATTGCTTCTTCCAGTTTCAATATCACAATATCATATATATATATATATATATATATATATATATATATATATATATATATATATATATTTGCGGGTCATAGTGTATAAAACCTGCACTTGGTCTCATTCATGCAATCTTTTGCTCTCTCACTCGTCTATGTGAGCTCATAAACAAGGAGGACACACCAATCTTGTGAGGCAGTGAGAGCCAATAGGCTCCAATTCCATGCTCCTCAATATAAGCCTTCAGCTTTGCGGCCTCCTCAGGTGACCATGCTCCCTTCTTCACGTTAGCCTTGTCACAACAAGGAGCTCTCCCCATATCGCTTTCTCTCTATCTCTATCTATCTATTTATCTTCAGCTGACAGCAAGAGAAGTTGAGGTCTTTGGCAATCCCTGGGAGGGTGAGGCCAAGTCTTATAGGAGACACCGGGAGAGCAAGATGGTGTGGATGTGACGTGATGCTTACACTGTGGGCACTTAGTTGAAGGCTTCTTTTAGTCACCTTGTTTGCCGAGTTTGCAATGTATGGCCTTTGTTTAATGGATATCAAATCTTGAAGGATTGAACAAGTCCATGAACACTATGTTTCGGCTTGATTAGCAAAAGCAAGTGATGGTTATGGTAAGCTATTAGATTGAAGACCGGATGGAGATCAGGAGAGGACTTCTTCTTCCACTAGGTTTATACCCCAAAGAATGACTTTGGCTACTAGCAGGCTTTGAAGGGTGCATGAGAGTCTTTGCTTCAAACAATATACGATGGACCATTTCATGGATCAAATAGTGCAAGTCAAACAAAATGATTTGCAACTTGGAGGCTTCTTGAAAATGAAGCAACTGATTTCATGTGACCTAATGATTAACTTATAAAGTGGATGAGAGCTTAGATGACATTCTTGAGGACTTGTTAATTAAAATGTTAGTTTTTCTCAGTTTTGTTCTTAATACCCTCTCCTCTTCTAATTTCTCAGTTTAGATCTTAATATGGACATACTGATCACACTCACCAGCATCAGATTATGGCTGGAGAATTCCTACTTGGTCAAATGTCAAGAAGTAGTCACCAAGGATCTCTACATGGTTGGTAGAAAAGAATAACATGAATAGATGTATTCCTAACATGAGAAATGTGTCCAAGGGAAGACCATACTACACACTCCATCCTGTCTATGAAATTTAATGATAGTTAATTGCATGCAAAGACAACAAGAAGCTGCCCCAGTTCACAATCAATCACCATCAAGCCAAAGCTAACACAGCTTGTCTGCTTATCTTCGTCATTCAAACAAGTCTGCCTTAAAGCACATATTCTCTTCCTTGGACTAGTGGATGGAAATTTACACTGTTAGGCTAAAGAGAGAGAAAATAAAAAACATTTATTTCTTTTCATTAATTTTTTTCTTTTTCATAATATTTTGATATTTCTATCATTATGCAATATTTCTTCGGTATTTAGATCGTCAAAGACTATAATCATTTTTTTAATCATCCATATAAAGTATAAGAGCATCATTTTTTATAATCTCCAGGAAGAGATTTTTCATATTGTATCTTAGAACATTCTTGATATCATTTTTATAACAATGTCCAACTTTATTCCTGGTTTCATTTTTATAACTCTTCCTAATATTTAAAATCTGATTCATTTATATTTCCTGACCACATTGGGTCTAGTATTAATTTCTACTTCCACATATGTTTTGTCAAGGAATAAATTAGGAGTGGCAAAGCTTTTCTTGCAGTAAAAGTGAGCAACCCTTGCATGGACTAACACCCTTATGGTGAGAGAATTAAGTACATAAAGTAGGGTAAATGAAAAAAAATGCAGAGGAAGGAGGACAGGGAAGAGAGATGTCTGTGTCTTCTCCTTGACTTTGCCTAGTGTTTGGATTCTGCTTGAAGCTGTCTCACCTCATCAAATCCAGCTGAGAGAAGCACAGGGGATGACCATGTGTGGGAGCTTAATGGGTTTGAGTTTGTGCTAGCATTCAAGGTAGAAACCTCCATCCATGTGCTAGGGTGACTTGCATGCAAAGCTAATTACTAGTACTCAGAGTCAAGATTGTTCACTTTGGTCATTAAATGAACTTTCTCTGTAGCAACATAATTCTATATTTGCTAAAATAATGTAAGCTTGGCTTGTTTTTCTTTTGAACTTGGCTCACAAAAGCCAAATTCCTTTAATACAAGTGAGCACATCATAGAGGAACCTTTTTTTATGCATATAGAAATCACCCAAAGTTGTCAACATATCACATCACAATTCCATGTCCTTGGAAAGACAATCAACAAAGTAAATAGTAGAGAATCTAAGAAAAGTTTGTAGGTTCTAGGAAGGTATGAGGTAGGTGTGTGAGAAGATAAACAACTTGCTAAGCCTTATCCATAGTAGGAGGTGTTGCTTAGGTCATTCTTGGAGGTTGTGACAGCACAAGATGTATTTTGGTACAATTCCTTTTTATCATAGACAGGACATTACTTTCCTTCCTAAACATCCAACTTTTCTTCCTCTCTCTCTCTCTCTCTCTCTCTCTCCAACTAATACAAGGCATCGTAGGATTGATTCTATCAAAGAAGTTCCCTTGTTCCTTATGTTTTAAGGAACAATTAAGATGATGGAGATAAGTCACCTAAAGATCTCATAAGACTTTCTAGGAATATATTTTGAGGCTTTGGTTGAACTTACAAAGACTTCATGGAATGCTGATTGCTAGGAAAACCACTTCTGAAGTGATTAAACTGCAATCTCATGACTGATTTGCTAGGAAAAGAATGCCAACAAATAAATATCACAGATAAATCATTTGATATCATCATACACACAACATTTTGGATTAATGATTCAGATTCAATAAATTAATATATCAATGATTCCATCCAACTCTTACAGTACAGGCCCATTCATGTAAATAATTATTATTGAATTGAGAAAATATGTGGATTAGCATAGCTTTTCATGACCACTTAGGTAAGCAAATTAATTATTGTCATAATGAAGAAAATACTCAAACTTGTGTGAATAAAATAGTGAATGTGGAGCTTGTTGAGTGGTTAAACTGGTCCAATCAGATTATTGAATTGGGATAATTTGTCGTGCACATTATCAATCTTTTCAGCTGACTTCGTCCATAAGCTTTGATGCACTTAAAGTTATCATATTCGACAAAGATGTTCCATATAAATAATATATATCAATAATATGAGTTAAGATCCACTGTGCAGTCTAAAATGTGATGCTGTACTATTGCTTGATAGGAACATGCATTGCCTTTTTATGTCTCCTAGACTTCTAAACCACATTGCTTGCTCCCAAAGCAAATTGCTTTTAGCCTTACCACCACACTACATGGAATATATCTTTCTTCTTGGGAGACAGTAACCAGAGAATTCTCCTCTATCCTCATGTCTTCTTCCCTCACCAACCTGGCAGATTATTGACACCCAATACAGATTGCGGATATCCACCTCTCTCTCTATCTTATAAGACAAGCCACCAACCAGCTTCTTCTGTTCCTTGTCACACAGCTTCATGGCTGACAGGAAGAGAATTCCACTTGTAAGCCTTCTCAGGAGGGCAATTCAGAAGGTAAGGTTCTTGCTGTCTTTTGATGCCACCAGATGGATGGCCTCCTCCCTCAAGAGATCGCCGCTGGTGTCTCGCCGGCTGAGCTTCACCGCCCGACCGAGCCTGCTCGACTGCACCGACGATGACGGCTACGAGGCCGGGTCGTCGTCGTCGAGGACGCTCTCGAGGACGGTGAGCTTGTCGAGCTCACCGGCGTCGAGGACGACGAGCCCCGGGTCGGAGGCGTCGAGGTCACTCAGCGGTGCGTCGTCCGACGACGACATCAACCAGAGGGCAGACAGGTTCATCGAGAACTTCTACCGGCAGTTGCGGATGGAGAGGCAGGTCTCCCTTCAGCTGAGATACTGCAGGCAGAAGAGCTTGGAGGAGGATGGATACACATTGAAGTAAGGGGGAGCTGTTTCTTCTCAGTTTTGCATTGCTTAGAGTACACAATCTGTCTTGGATGACTAAATCTCATGTTGTGTTCCGTTTCTCTCTCTTGAATTGCACCACATCTTGTCGTTCGGTAGAGATTCATGTAATGATCTTAGGTAATTGAGACATTGTGACTTATGAAAAGGAAAGGAACAATATTATAACTTAATCAGCAACTACAAAAATATATATCCCTGTATGGATCTCCAACACTTACAACATTCCACGAACCTTCGTCTTTCGTCCTTTCCCAATGCTAGAAGAATGGCCTTTTCTCCTGCACACACTGGCTTCTCCGACCCACTAGTTTGACTCTCTGTTGCTATCCAAGTTTCATGACCATTCTTGATGATGTAGCCTAATCCTGTAGCAAAGTTCTTAGCATTAAACGAACCATCACACTCAATGATATACTTGTAATCCTCAGTTTCATTTGAGTTTCTGCAGGCCTTTGCCTTGGTGGCCACTCAGGGTTATGAGAAACCCTCAAATAGTCATCAATGGTGGTAACCATTTTCCTTAAAGAGGATCTTCATGTTGGTTGGTGGTTTCTGTAGTCTACAGTTGCCATAAAGTATTTGTCACCGATGCTAAGGATACCTCTTTGCTAATGTATATAATGCATTAAATATATCATTCTGGAAATGCATTAAATGTTGGTTTCAACTTTTTTTCAAAATTATGTGCATATATATATATATATATATATATATATATATATATATATATAAAATCAAACAGTCTAATATAGACTGTGAAGAGTGCAAATTACACATCTCAAGCTGCCATCCCTAGCAGAATCTTGGCTTTTGGCAGCTTCAACCAGATGGTGGGCACATCCCTATCTCAAGGCAGCATTATGAGCAGAATCTGTTCTTATTACCTACTGCCTGGATATGATTCATGCCCAAAGAAAAAAGAACTGGTGAATTGATGGTTTCATATAAGATATGCCAATCATGTGTTGAACAAGCATTGGATACCCTGAAGTCATCAACAGTATGTGAAGAAAGAATCCTCTTGGAATGATGGGATGAGTTCATGGGAACAAGAAGAACATGATACACATGGCCAAGGATTGGATTAAAGATGAGGAACTCCATTGAACTGCTGTCTCCCAACAGGCTTTCATGGTTGTGGCCTCAGAGTTTCCATCCCATAACACTGTTCAAATGCATATCCATTTGCCCTTTTTAAACTTTTCCTTGATTGTTTGGTTGAAAAAGAAAATTATCATTTATGATAAAACATCGCAATGAGATTCGATAGGATAATTGATTCATTAAATTTTTTTTAGTCTAATTTACTAACCTAAC